TTTTCTTGCTGAAAAATTATCAGTCTGAAATGTAAATATTGTCAAAAATTATGAGACCTACTCTGGGTAATTATGAAAACTCATAAAGCATAGTAGGATTAGAGATTAGTGATCATTCAACATGTCATTAGTGCAAATAATGCCAGGTGTACCTGCACTTCGAATGAAGTCTGTGAAGTTTCCGGCTAAAATGCAGTCTTTGGTCTTTATGAAAGAAGGAAAGCCAGGGCAGATTTTGGCTTTAGATCCAACTGTCACAGTTCACTGCATCCCTTCCACAGAAGGTCACATCACATCTGCTGCTGGGAGTTGATAAACCTAAAGACAATCTGAATGAACTCTGTGCATGCTGGTAGCAGAGACCGTCTCCGAGGAAGGGAACTGGATAAGAGACACTTTTTTATCACATGCCTTTTCTTACCTTTTGTAATTTATAACACGTTATGTATATACTTATTCAAAAAGTATACTAAATTTTAAAAGAACACATTGTGCAGCCCAGTCTATTGTGGTGGGTTGGTGAAGGTGGAAGGGGTGAAGGTTCTTCTCTATTCCTTCTTCCAGGTTCTGGTAGAAAAAGAAGGCATTGGCCCTTCAAGGGGTCCCTTGTCTGGGATCACTGGTGCTTACTGGTAACAGAGAAGCCACAAGACTGGAGGCACTAGGGGATTTGACATAAGAGAGCCAAGACCACACAGCCTGAATGCTCAAAGGCCACCCCAAGAAGGAAAAAGGGAGACACAGCTCTTCCATGTTTACATATTTTGTAAATTGAGTAATATAAAACTGAAGAGAAACAAAAACAAACTGCAAGCAAAGGCCAATTTTTATAATCCAGAGAGGATGCCTACTGTTAGAATAATAGTGCATTAACAATAATGTAAGTCTAAACCCTGTTTACAAAAATATTTCTTTTTTAAAAAAGACACTATTCGGCTAAGGATCGGGGGGGTAAGAAAATAAGGTAAGAAAATAAAAGTATTAATGTTCCAAATAACTAGAAGAGAGAAAACATAATCCAAGCAATGAAAGACAAGAAAAGGAAACAGAGAAGACAAAATATACCACACAAAATGATCAAAAGGTCATATAGTTGTAATTTTAACAAAGTTGCAAATAAAACTTTCCTGTTAGATTATCCAAAAAAAAATAAAAATCTGATTGGGTTCAATAACTAAATCTAACCACCTAAACAACTAAGGCAAGCACACACAATTTAGAAATTTTGCTAATGCATCCAAAAAGAAAACCATGGTGGCAATTTTAATAACAAAATAACAAGGTGGAAAAGGAATAGTCATTTCATGTTCACAAGACATAATTAACATGAATATGAATCACATGACTTCAAAATATGTAAAGAGAGTTAAAAATACAGGAAAACTCAAGAAGAAATAAAATGGTAGCAGACGTGAGCCTAATCACCTGTACCACTTGGGTGTTCGTTAGTTGAAAGGGACTAAGCAACTTTTAAACAAGAAGGAAGAATATCGGGAGCCACAGAACTGACAGAAGCCAGGGCCCCTTGTAGGCAAGATGCTAAGGCAGACAACCTAGACGTGCCTGGACTGATTATCTACAAAGGCAAGACTGTCAGCCAATGGGGACATTGGTTGGCAGTGGCCTGAGGCTCTCCAGTGCACAGGCTCTAGGCAAGTTGAACCCGCCTGCTCCCCGCAGTTCCTACGCCAGCCCCACGTGCCATGCTGTAGTATATGCTAAAGCCGCCCAAGCACATGGAGCTGCTCCTTTCCCTTTAGGCTGCAGCACAACCCAAACACCAGGCAGGGGCCCTGAGACCCCCCACTGGCCTCTCACTGGAGACATCTAGGTGTCCAAGCCCCTAGTGTGAACTCTGTGCTCTCCAACCCAGATGCCAGATAAGTGAAAACAAAAGTAAGATTTAACTATGCCCAACTGATATATTTAAAATTTATATAATAGGGATCCAGACTATTGACTGACTCTTGGAGCCAATTTGTTCAGCTTCAACAAATTTGGAAGACATACAGCATCGGCTCATTTTCTGATAAATTGTGCATTGTGAGCTACATAATAAAACAGTTGCATCTGACCTTAAAACATGAAAGAAGTAGAAAGAAAATACATGTTTTAAAACATGAACACATTTCAAAAAATTTAAAAATAAATAAAAGATGAACACATTTCACCATCTCCCCTTTCCTAACCAACTGAGTAACACACTACACACTTCCAAAAACTAACCCCCCCCAAAAAAAATTACTTGAAAAGATTCTTCATCTTAAAGAACTGGGGATGCCCATCACAAGTAATGAAAAACATGGTCCGTCCATGATCAAGTATGGGGCTGACCACTGTAAGAAAACATTTAAACACTGTCTCATGCATTTAATCAAAGTGGCATTTTCTTATTTCCCAAACCACCATTTATCAAATAAACTGCAGAAACTACAAAGCTGAAGGATAAACACTTCAAATAAGAATTCATACTCCAAGGAAGTAAGAATCTTTCAACTTTTATTTCTAGGATACATTCATCTGGAACCTTTTTGTTGCTTTACAATTTTCCCCCTAAGAGAAATGAATACAATAAAAATATAATCCAACTACCAGCAATGTTTGTAACCAGAAAAGAATCTAAAATCTCTGGTGTGATAATATAGGATTTTTTTTAAAAATATAAACTTCATACCAGAAATAAAGCCTGAATATTCTCTTTTTCTTTAAAAATATAATTTTTCCTTCTTAGCTCTTTCATGTAAATCTTATAATCAACCATTTAGTTCTACAGTCTATTTTTAAACTAGTAATTGCAACACTATAGCAGTTTTTCCCTACCTTGTATGCTGTTCTACTGTACTGCGAATCAACTAATAATTGCAGAAGTGTTTACAAAGAGAAAGAGATGCCACTAGGTTGTAGCAAGATTCTTCAAGATATACTGATCATTAAAAGAAAAAAAAATCCCCATTAGCAAACTGAAACCTACTCAACAAACTGCATTTTATCATGTTTATGAAATTAGAAAATGTGTATAAAGCACTTTTGCAAACTTTGTAAAGCTCTAATGGAAAACATTTTTAAAATCTGTTTTAACTAGAAAGGCTGCTGACTGGGACAGAATGTCGGGGACAGAAGGTTCTGTGAGATCCTGTTCTTTTTTTCTGTTAACTACTTACATTTGGGGAAGGAGAGATTATAAATTGCAAAGAAGCTGGGGGTATGGGTACAGGAATGTCTCACAAAGATTGACTGCTTTGCAGTGACATGGGACTGCTTTTCTTAACTGAGAATAAAGACCAAAGGACAGGAGTAGACCAATACTTTACACCAGACTGAGAAGTCAAGCCATTTGTCTCCAATTAGGAACAAGAAATAAGAGAAGTGAGGCTTTTCCCCACTTCTAACTAGCTCCTCCATGCAAAGCTTCATTACTTGCAGTCCATTTCAAAACAGTATTCCAAACCCAAACATAAATGGTCTGGGAATGGTTTCTTTAGTTTAGGAAAATAATCAAAAAGCCTAATTATAAACATAAGTAACAACATACCTGAACCAGAGTTGACACTTTCCTACCTCTAGAAAAATAGCATTGTCCCTAACAACATTTTAGGGTATCTTGTGGAATATAGGAAGTTAAGCGAAGGACAAAAAAGTTTGGTAACAAAAATAATCCCAGTGGGGCTTCCTTGTTTGTTAGAATGCAAAATAAATGTAACAGAAACTTCTTTCCATGAGCTACCCTAATGAAATTAGAAAGGCTATGAAGACAGCCCCAGCAATGAAGGGCTGCAGAAATTTAGTCATCTGTACCCAGACACGGGCGACCAAAAAGAGTATCCTCAATTACCTAAAGGATGAGTGAACTGACCAAAGGAATGGGTCTGCGTTACTGCATAAAAAAAAGGCTTCGAGCGAGTCAGGCTTGCTGGAAGAGGCTGCCACTTGGGGCTTTGGAGCCTCCCTTCTAACAGTTTCTGAACAATTTTCCTGTGGCTCTCTGGGAGCAGGCATAGCTTAGCACAGGGAATGGGCTAAGTGGCCTTATAACCTCTTTTGCCCCGTGATGCTCTTACTCTTCTAGTGTCTTCTTTCCCCAAGAGAATATTCAGGCCAATTTGCTTTTGTTTTTTTCTGCATTAGTAAGAATAAACTAGCAATCTGGAATACCCTTAACTCTGAGTACCTCATGTTAGTATAGGATACCATGAGTAATAAGAATGTAGAACTTTAATGCCTTTACATAAGAGTCAAACAAGCCTATGTCATATTTTGATGATTCCACATTAATAAAATTTAGTTAGGATATGTGAAAAACTACTTTTGCCAAGGTTTTAAGTATTGGACTTTAAACCAATTTCAATATTCCATGGAAAGGTCATTTATATTAAAGTAACATGCCTTCATGTTTTCTACATACAACAAGAGTAAGATTTTTTTAATGTACATGTATTTTTTAACCAATGCACTCCCTTTTACAATCACACCTTCAGTCCAACATTTAAAATATAAACCCAAACTGTCAATGAAAGAACAGTGGACCAAATGACAGTATCATTTAAATGTAACAATAATGCAAGAAAAGGTGAGCATCAAAACTTAGAAAATAAACATAAACAGATTCATTGGAAATCTGCTCATATGCCTGATGTGTTCAGAAATGAACCTCATACAAAACAGATCCCACTATTAGACAACTCATTCCTTTCTCATTTACTCACTCCATGATGCATGTCTCACTATTTTTACTGAGGTTTATACAGTGATTAATTATCCTAACAGCAGAGCTTAATATTAAATATACAGCCTACTCCAGAATTGGCATATGCTCCCAACAACTGTTTTGTATGTTCCCTGAATTATAAAATAGTCTAATTTTTTAGGAGCATAAAAATGAAAGGGCTTAGATCTATTCATATACATTGTGCATTAAATGTTACTAAGACAGTAAGGTGGAAAAAAGGAATAGAAGGGTCCAGTAAATTTTCTTTAAACGATCCCATTACATTAGACAATACTGTCAATGATATGTATTTATTTTTACCAGTTTATGAAAAAAAGGGAATTATTATCAGAATTTGTATCAATTTCTTGGAGAGGCTAATAATAAAACTTTAAATATATGTATTTATTTGTATATTTATTTGAAGAATCTTTGGTAGCAATTGTGTTTCTTCCACATTATAGGACTTTTCAAAATAAATGTCAAAATTAATTTACTAATCAGCATATGAAAGATAAATTACAGTACTATTCTTTTGGTTTTCCTAAAAACATGACTATTAAAACTTGCACTAATCATGCACTTAAACACAGTTATCTGTTTAACTCACGTACATATAAAATGAGAGACTAATACCAGAAAGAAATTAGACAGTAATGAGAATCAATGACAAAACATAACAATGACAACTGTTCTTAAGTAATTTATTTTTAAATTATAAGATTTACAATGCTTTGATTATGCAAAATAGTATAATGGAAATTAAACCAAATTGATAAACCAAAAGAGAAAGAAAACTTAGTTTTCTTGAATATCAGTACTTAAACCATCATTATAAATAAGTATCTGTTGTCCCAACCACGTCTTATGTAGACATAAGTATAATAATTTCAAACGTTTCACTTGTGGGTTTAATTTCTCATTTTCAACTTTTATGAACTGAAATGTAATTTATTTCAAATCCTAGTATACCTATTTAGTGTTTATACTGCAAGAGCAGCATCTCTCAGTGTGCAATCAAATGTAGAACTGGGGCACAGTTTTTTAGCTTTCAGCCACAGACAGAAATTATAGAGTGTGTTCAGTACAACAGAGTACATTATATTAACCAGAGCATAGAGTTTAGTACACTTATTGCAGGATTGGTACTTCTTTCCCTTTGAACTGAACCAGCTGAGCTTCTGAGCTGACATATTACTGCTGTGGATAGTAAGACTGCTGTGGGGGCTGAGGGAAGGGGTATGAAGGCTGCTGGGGTCCTGGGTATGGAGCCTGTCCAGGGCTCTGGTGATACACTGGCGGATATGGCATATTATACTGGCCGTATGCGTAAGGATTATAGCCCATGGGCATGGGCATTTGGCAATACCTGATGAAAAGAAAACAAACAAACAAAAAAAGGATTGGTAAATCAAATACTGAAAAATGAAACGTAAGTTATTCTAAAACCAAGTTTTTTCAAGAAAGTCATTTTTCTCTATTTCTCAGTCTAGCAGAGAACAGTAGAGAGAAAAAAACAGCTATTTCAAGGTACTTATTAGAGAAAAGTGTTCCTATCCTGTTAATATTTGAGATAAAAGAATATTGAGTGTTTAATACTATCCAGAAAATAATACTGCTGACAGAAATAAGACTAAATATTCAACTATTAATAAGGAATAAAAATGGAGAACTTTCATTTTAATGTAGCAACCTAAGTACATTCCTAATTCACAAGATTCAATACTCACTGTAACGCACATAAATTCAATGTTAACGAAGTTTTAGTATTTGGAAAATGGAATGTACTTACAAAGCAAACTTTGGAGCACATCTTAAGAGGTAGTCAAATGTCTCGATTTTTAAGATTAAAAATTATCACAAAGAAAGCTGTTCTTTAAGAAAGCACATGCCATAATTAGAGTTGTGTTCAACAGTCTGTCAGAATGCCAATATTTCAAAGTACAGGTACATAATAAACAAGGCCTTATCAGTCTTGCTAAGTTCAGAAAAGATGCCTATCCGTTTATCACCAAAATAAAGACGACCAAGTAACACTCTACATTCCATACAGACGAGATCTATTTAAGATGAACCCAGCATCAAAAACTAAAAACATAAATAAGCCTGGGAAATAGCCATTCAGTTGCTCAAATAAGTGCCTATAACATTATTTTCACTTCTGTGTAAGCTGACAATGTAGCTTATTCATTCATGACACCACCATGCAGAGAAAGGTGACCCTGTTTTTAAAAGGATAACCGGAGCTAGAAACATGAGCCAATTCATTCAGATACTCAGGGGCAGCCTTACCCGGGATATCCTGGATAGGCAGGATATGGGGGTCCCTGGGCCTGTGGCGGGGGAGCTGCTGAGCCAGGAGCGTGGGACGGAGCGGGCGGGGCGGTGCCAGTCCCCACTGCAGCTGGAGCAGTGGCAGGAGGAGTTCGATGTGCTGGAAGCACAGGAGGTGGAGGCCGGGCTGGGGGTTGGGGCTTAGCAGGCTGTAAGAAAAAGTCAACACTGACTACAAAATGTTTCATGTTTCTGTCAAATTACCGTCAGTTAAAATAAATGAGGGCATATGAGAAACTCTACAATCCAACCAAATATATTTCTAATTTCCATTTTTAAATGTTGACTTATTGCTCTAGAAATGTATCACAGTTGAGGAATAATTCTCCAATTCATGGAAACTGCACAGCTACTGCTCTATTCCTGACGCCTAATACTTAATCATTTACTATAGCTCATTACTGCTCCCATCAATGGTTAGACATTTGAGAAGGGAGGAAGGAGCAAGTCAGGTACAGTTTACTACTGTGATCTCCTCCTGGCCACAACACTTTTTATGCAAACATTTTCAAATACCTGAAAACTTATGAGAATAGTATAATAAACAAGCACATATTTACCAATTAAATTCAGCAATTATTAACATCTGGCCATATTTGCTTTATCTATATAGCTAAATCCATGTATTTATCTATCTAAATATTTGCAGAACCATGTGAAAGCCAATTGCAAACTTCATGACACCAGCCCGAAAGACTGTAGCATAAAAGTCCTAATACTCTCCTACATACATAATCACAATACCACTTCACCCTAAGGAAATAAACAATTATTTCCTAATGTCATTGAGTATCCACTCTATATTCAAGTTTCCCTATTTATCACCAAAAAAAGCTCTTAAGTTTTTATGAACCAAGATCGAATCGAGGTTCATGTATTGCATTATTATTATGAATCTTTCCTCTTTTATTTTTCTAATTTTATTTTATTATGTTCTGTTAGTCACCATACATTACAACATTAGTTTTTGATGTAGTGTTCCATGATTCATTGTTTACATATAATACCCAGTACTTCATGCAATATGTGCCCTCCTTAATACCCATCATTGGGCAAACCCATCCCCTCACACCCTCTCCCCTCTAAAACCCTGTTTGTTTCTCAGAATCCATAGTCTCTCATGGTTCGTCTCCCCTCTGATTTCCCCATTTTTCCCTTCCTACTTTTTTTTTTAACATATAATGTATTATTTGTTTCAGAGGTATGGGTCTGTGATTCATCAGTCTTACACAATTCACGGCACTCACCATAGCATATACCCTCCCCAATGTCCATCACCCAGCCATCCCATTCCTGCCACCGCCCACCACTGCAGCAACCCTAAGTATGTTTAGCGATTAAGAGTGTCTTAGAGCTTGGCTCCCTCTCTGGTTTCATCTTGTTTCATTTTTTCCTCCCTTCCCCTATGATCCTCTGTCTTGTTTCTCAAATGCCTCATATCAGTGAGATCATATGATAATTGTTTTTCTCTGATAGACCATTTTCGCTTAGCATAATAGCCTCTAGTTCCATCCATGTCGTTGCAAATGGCAAGATTTCGTTTTTTTATGGCTGCATAATATTCCCTTGTATATATATACCACATCTTTATCCATTCATCTGTTGATGGACTTCTTGCCTCCATAATTTGGCTATTGTGGACATTGATGCTATAAACACTGGGGTGCACGTACCCCTTCAGATCACTAAATTTCTATCTTTGTGGTAAATACCCAGTAGTGCAATTACTGGGTCCTAGGGTAGTTCTATTTTTGACTTTTTGAGGAACCTCCATACTGTTTTTCAGAGTGGCCGCAGCAGCTTGCATTCCCAACAGTGTAGAAGGGTTCCCCTTTCTCTGCATCATCACCAACATCTGTCGTTTCCTGACTTACTAATTTTAGCCACTCTGACTGGTGTGAGGTGGTATCTCATTGAGGTTTTGATTTGGATTTCCCTGATGCCGAGTCATGTGGAGCATTTTTTCATGTGTCTGTTGGCCATTTGGATGTCTTTACAGAAATGTCTGTTCATGTCTTCTGCTCATTTCTACACTGGATTAGTTGTTCTTTGGGTGTTAAGTTCTTCATAGATTTTGGATACTAGCCCTTTATCTGACATGTCATTTGCAAATATCTTCTCCCATTCTGTCGGTTGTCTTTTGGTTTTGTTGACTGTTTCCTTTGCTGTGCAAAAGGTTTTCATCTTGATGAAGTTCCAATAGTTCATTTTTGCCCTTGCTTCCCTTGCCTTTAGCAATGTGTCTAGGAAGAAGCTGCTGCAGCTGAGGTCGAAGAGGTTGCTGCCTGTGTTCTCCTCTAGGATTCTGATGGATTCCTGTCTCACATTTAGGTCTTTCATCCATTTTGAGTCTGTTTTTGTGTGTGGTGTAAGGAAATGTCCAGTTTCATTCTTCTGCATGTGGCTGTCCAATTTTCCCACTACCATTTGTTGAAGAGACTGTCTTTTCTCCATTGGACATTCTTTCTTGCTTTGTCGAAGATTAGTTGACCATAGAGTTGAGGGTCCATTTCTGGGTTCTCTGTTCTGTTCCACTGATCTATGTGTCTGTGGTTTTGCCAGTACTATACTGTCTTGATGATGATAGCTTTGTAATAGAGCTTGAAGTCCGGAATTGTGATGCCACCAGCTTTGCTTTTCTATTTCAACATTCCTCTGGCTATTCGGGGTCTTTTCTGGTTCCATACAAATTTTAGGATTATTTGTTCCATCTCTTTGAAAAAAGTGGATGGTATTTTGACAGGGATTGCATTAAATGTGCAGATTGCTCTGGTAGCATAGACATGTTCACAATATTTGTTCTTCCAAACCATGAGCACGGAACGTTCTTCCATTTCTTTGTGTCTTCCTCACTTTCTTTCATGAGTATTCTGTAGTGTTCTGAATACAGATTCTTTGCCTCTTTGGTTAGATTTATTCCTAGGTATCTTATGGTTTTGGGTGCAATTGTAAATGGGATCGACTCCTTAAT